AATTTCATGTTTTCTCTTTTGGTAAGTAAGCAAAAAATGCATCTTGTTGGATTGTATTGCTAATGGAATATCTAAAGGGGTAAGTGTTCACCCATTTTGATTTAGTTCCTGTGGTGGTAGGGGAAAATTCCCAATTGGCTTGAGGACCATTTATGGCAACAAGTCTACTTTCTTTCGTGTTGTGAGCGTGCCACTGTTAGCGGTTAAACCCAAACAGGCTTAGAAAAAATAAATATCTTGTGCCTCAAGTTGTTGACTTCAAACAAGTGATTGTGAATTTGGGTGAGGAATATCTCCCAAGTAAGTTATTTTCTTGCCTCAGACGGATGAAGACTTTGTAATTTTTCACAGTAAAAACTATTAGTTTTAACCAAAAAAAAAAAAAAAAGAATGCTGCAAATGAACTAAATTTAATTGAAAGAAAACTGTTTATTACACAATTTAAACAAACTAGGGGTGCCATGTCTGGAAGAACATCAGAACATTAGACTTCGATTTTTGCTTGGATTGTTTGTCTGTAACTTAGGCTGGACTGGATGTATCTGTGCTGGAATTGCACGTCAGCACCGTCAACTGATAGGGTTCAGCTGAAAATTGATACCAATGTTGAGATTGGCAGAGCTTTATTCAAGTTTAGCAAGGGAAAGGCTTGCCAGATGGCCAGAAGAGATTTCTCCAATATGGACTTGATTGACAATTGCTGGCCTGAAACTGCACTTCAATACTTATTCTGCTTGATTATGAATCATCCAAAGCTATTTTGGCAACTCTGAGAGATCATGACATCTCTATAAATTTGTTGAGGTTTTCATATTATGAAAAACCTGAAGTTTGCTTGATTCACCTGTGTTGAACCAAATTTGTAACGAGCAAATCCCGTTCCCATTATGAATTGCCTCTCTGAGTTGAGCTAGAGTCAGAAGTCCGAGTTTTGGTTGTTTTTTCAGAGGTTGGATGGCTTTTGCAGACCAAAGAACTTGGTTGTTTCAAAGTTTGAAAGCTTTTGAGATCGCATGATCTTGCTTGATTTTGTTTGTATGTCTTGAGAGTTTTTGTGTTGATTGAATTTTTTGCTTTCTTCTATCCTGTTCACATCTTCTCATGTTTATAGACAATCTGCATGAGTGATTATTCCTTAATATCTGGAGCACATATTGTTGAGATGATCCTCTGCTCCAGCGCTGAAAAATGGTGGTGGTTAGTCTGACAAGAAAAGTCCCCATCAAGAGTCAGTTTCCAAGATTGATCAATTTTGACTTTTTAACAACCAAATCTCTTATTTCTTGTTTATCTCTTGTAATCCAAGCCTGCATTGACGAAAAACCTTCACGGGAATGAGTGGGAAACTTGGCCCTCTTTTCTGGCATTAAATGGTTATGGGGAATGGTTTTCCGATTTAACCTTTCTACCAACTCCCCATCACGTCATCTGCCTTATTGAAGTCTTGTCTATAGAGTCATGTGGGCATTTGTGGAGAGAAAGATCCTCCTCTTTGTCTGCTGATTTGATCAACGACTATCATCATTCTTTGGGCCTTTGGAGAAACTAGAAGTTGGGCTTCAATTAAAACCAACTAAATCTGGTTTTTCCAGATTAAATCACCATTAATGGTAATTAATCTTTAACCAGTAAATTTATTTATTGCAATTTGGTTCGCAATGGTCTGGGCTTCTAAAACATTATAGGCAGACTTCTGATTTTGGTAAAACAAAGCCCAAGCCATTGTTGTTGACATGGGCCAATCGTCAGATGGGTTGGTGGTGGAATTTAGGCCTAAAGAGTAAGAAATCTAAACCTCTGGGTCAAACCAAGTGGTGAAGATAAGTGACGACATGTGTTATATCAAAAGTTTGATTCCCTTCTATTGTAACAATAAGAAATTTAATATAGAAAAAAAAATGCATCTTTTTTTTTTCTTCTTCTAGGCAAGTAAAAAATGCATCTCGATGGATTATGTTGTACCTACACACATTAGTCTGTTTTTAAAAATATAAAGATAATTGCTATATTTATAGAATTTCGAAAATAAAACTTCACTATAAATTCGAAATAAATACAAGAAAATAACTATAAGGTAAATGTTAAGAATACTTTACAAATAATCGAGTTTAGAACTTGGTTCTATCTCGCTAAGACGAAATTGTCTCCTCACTGGTGCTTTTAGGATTTTCTTGACAAACGTCTCCTAAGGTACAACGATCGACTTCTTGTTGATGTAGCACTACAATCCCCAAGAAAAGCGAACTCGAACTTGTGTATGAATTCTCTCTTACTAACTCACTATATTTCTAAAAATGTAATGCTATGAATGCTCTAAAAACTATTATTGTTGGATGACAATTGGATGAATGAAATGTTGTAGGATCTTCGCTATTTATAGGCAATAAGGCCTCTGTTCAAAAAGATGTGATTGAAAAATATCAACAAATGTGTCTTTTCATGTTGCAACCATAAGCCAAGAAGTGCAATATTTCATTTATTATGAAACAATGCAACTTAAGTCAAGAAGTGCAATGTTGCAATTTCTATGAAACAATGCAACTTTTCATATATGAAACAATGCAACTTAAGCCAAGAAGTGCAATGTTTCAATTTCTATGAAACAATGCAACTTTTCATATATGAAACTATGCAACTTATCACATAAAGTATTATTATTTTACAAACAAAATAAATAACATTTTATTTTTCCTCGGTTAAGAATATGACTATTCCCAATGGATACATACCAAAAAGTCATGTACATAAAGTCACGAGTCCCACAATTTAATTTCCATTCAATTATTAAAAAATTAAATATAAATATTATAATTTTCTAATATTAGTTACAACTGTCTGACTTGGAATGGATGAAATGAAGAATGATTAAAACATAAATGCTAATTATTCAATATATAAAGAATAATTTAAACATAAATAATAATAATTATTATTAAATAATGCTAAGATATTACTTAATTGAAAATATAAAACTAAAAAAAACTTATTTTATATAATAAAAAAAAGTTCAGAAAATAAAATAAAATAATTAATTACTATTTATTAAGTAATTTATGAAAATAGTAAAATATTTAAAAACTAATTATTCATTAAAAAAATAAACATAATTACTATTAAAGTAATTAAAAAAAAGAGGCTAAGATATTACTTAATTACAAAGAAGAAAACCATTTTGGGCTATACTTTTAAAATATTAAAACCTATAAAACTATTATATCCGCTTTAAATGTATACAAATATTTTAACAGTATAGCCGCGCAGCCATACTTGTTAAATATTAACATATTTTCAAAGTACAGCCTCGTGGCCAAAAGCGTTAAATATTAATATATTTTAAAAGTAAAGCCACGCGGCTAGACTTTTAAATACTAATATCATTTTGTTATCATCACGAATTAGGTTATCCTGTGAGAGGCAGAGTTGAAAAAGAAAGTCAATAACAAATCACTTAGTTCAAATTCAACCTCACGATTTTCGGAATCCGAAGCATGTTTTTCAATGTTTGACTAACCAAATGCATTCGGTAAACATGAACTTGCTGGATTAAGACACATCAATTTCTTCTGCGTATAGCTCCAGACCTACCATGCCAACACATTTGAGTTTCCCATTTGAGTTATAAACTTACCAACTTATTCTTAAGTTATTTTCATGATATTTTTGCCAGTTTTGATCTATTTGCATGAGATCGTTGCTAATTTAGAATACATAACGTTTTGATACATTTTGGGTTTTAACTTTTGAGTTTTGATTGGACTTAGGATAACCTAACACTCGAGAGTTGAAACCTAAATTTAACAGATATATCCAGTGTTATTATCGCAAAAGTAAATAACGAGGATGAGATATCTTACCACATGCAATAACCAGGAGTGCATACAAAAAAGCCATTTGTTTTATACAAACTTGTCCATGTATTTTTTTAGTTAGCAATTGGATAGCAAGGCAGGAATGTATAATAATGGTAATGGCGTTTGTTGCACTCAAGTACTTGCTTTGAATCCCACATGGTATATATTCATATAGGTGAAGCAATTAGTTAAAGATGGTAACAAATTTAATACAATAAAAAATGCATAATTTTCTTTAGTAAGCAAGTAAAAATTGCATATATATATATATATTTTTTTTTTGGGTGGTAAGAAATCAAAAAATGCATTACACTACCCAAATATTTACGTACTTGTCTCACTTGGATTGTATTGATATATATTTTTGTTCGTGGGGTTTGCCACCCATAATTGGGCCGAGCATAAGCCCACATAGAAGTCACAAACGGGAGAGGCCCAAACTCTTTGCCTATTTTCACTTTCACTTTTTCACAAAGGCCCTAATGCCTATTGTTACATGTGTAATTAGCCCGATTGATTCATGTTTCAAAGTGGCTTATGAGTTTTAATGAAAGATTAAAATGAATTACTAAGATAAATTTCAAGTAATTTTGATTATTGTTTGTATTCAAAATAAATATAGGGTAAATTACTCAAATGGTCTTCAAACTTGTACCCGATTTACATTTTGGTCCCTCAATTAAATTATTAGTCCAAATGGTACATAAACTATATTTAAATCGACCATTTGATCCAACCATTAGGTTCTGTCAATATTTCCATTAAATATGAGGGCAAATTGGTCATTTCATCCACCAACTCTCTCTCTCTCTCTCTCTCTCTTCTTCTTCTGGGTTTCTTCTTCTTCTTCCTAGTTTCTTCTTCTTTTGCTTCTTTTTTTCCCACAATCCATGTCCTTAGTTGACAAAGCACACTAAAAGGTGCATGAAATTCACAGAAAAATCCGCCAAATGAAATTAATAGTTTAGAATGACGGGGAGGGGGGACATTCAGCTGTAATAAATAGACAATCTACTAGTATTTACTGGGCATGATGAGCCCTGCCTTTTTTTGACCGGACGGAAGAGTTGTGGATCAAGTCAGATCGACACAGATTGAACAAAATCAAATGGATTTGGATCGAAGTTGATAGCAGAGGACACGTGCAACATGGAGAACCCAACGAAGCAGCGGATTCGAGATGAGTATGAGTATAAGGATATTAAATCCTATCCCTTCAAAGATTTCTTGTTCCACGAGCTCTATTTGAACCCATATGAATGGCACGGTGCGCTCAAAGGCCCTGCTAGAACCGACCTCGAGGGTGGGATTTATCATGTGCGGCTCCTGTTTCCGCAGGAATATCCATGGGAGGAACCTTCATTCATCTTTTTGAGGGAAAATGGTTCCTTAAATATCAAAACCAAGGTAACATTAAACTGGGACCCATCAAGGAGGATGAGACAGACTTTTCTTGATCTTATTGATTTAATGCATGAATGCCCAAATTTTGAATCAGATTCAGAGACCGAGTTTGATGAGCCCGGGTTAGAAGCACCCAGGTTCGAAGGGTTGAACAGGTTGAGTTCAAGCCTTAAGGATGACGCCCTAACCCATGAGCAGAGTCGTCATTGCAAAGCTTCAGATCAAGTCGGAGCCGAGAACTTGGTGATGGCGACGATGATGAGTTGATGACTGGTGGTGGCGGTGGTTGTTGTGGAGGTTGTTGAGTATCATCGTCATTAGAATCATTGATGATTCATTTTTTGGTTAAGATTTTCTGGGCCATCTTTTTTTTCTTCTTCTTCCGATTCTTCATTTTTTTTTCAAATTTTGTATTTATTTGTTAATTATGAAAAGTCATATTTACCCTAAAATTTGGTTAAATCTAACGGAAAATTAGAAGGTTGGATCAAATGGCCGATTTAAATATAGTTTATGTAACATTTGGACTAATAATTTAATTGAGGGATCAAAATGTAAATCGGGTACAAATTTGAGGACCATTTGAGTAATTTACCCAATAAATAAATTAATGCAAGACGTTTGTAGCTCAAGTGGTTAAGATCATTTACTGTTGCACCTTAGGTTCGATCTCCCCATCCCAACTATCGCTCGTATCATAAAAAATAAATTAGTAATAGAAATATAGCAGCTGTATTTGTATTAATTCTTCATTTTCCCCGTAAACTATGGTTTACAATTTTATTGAGCAAACTAGGCATCAACACCATGTCATGTATGCCTGAAATTAATTAACTTCAGTTCATGGCTGTGGTTGAAAGGGGAGGATGAATGGTGCGATGCGCCTCTACTCTTCTGGTTAGCACAGCAAAAATTCGCACATTCTGGATCATAGAGGCAATCAGGCTCTGTGACTGCGATGTTTCTTGCTTCAGCACATAACTCCAAACCTGCCAACAATTAATTATTGATTTACTTATATAATGAGTAGAATATTGTGATATTAGTTGATATTGAATCTTGGGAGTTGTCCAAATTTAACGTAATTTTAGACACCAAGCATGGCGAAACGAGAATGAGAGATTTTACCAGATGCAATGACCATGAGCACAACTAGAAGAGCCAATTTTGATGAAGATTTGTCCATGTCTTGTTGTGTTAGCAATTAGATGGCAGAAGTGTATAAGATACGTATATAGTATATAGGAAATTGACTGATGCGCTCGAGTAATTGAAGTTCCTATAGTGATAGGATATTTATATAGGTGAAGCAATTAGTTAAAATGCAAAGAAATTAGGTAAAGTGGAGAGGATAGGGTTGGGAAATGGGTTAGAATTTGACTAGGCAAAGGGCTCGACTCCCTTATGGAATAATGAAACAAAGAAGGGAAGAAATCTAAAATACATAGAAAAATGTATCTTGTCTCTTTTGTTGAGTAAGCGAAAAAATAAAATTTGGTGGATTTTGTTTTATAAATTTCTAAAAGAGTTATGATTTAGATAAGAGTTTGATTTCCTCCCATTGTAACAATAAGAAATTTACTATAGAGAAAAGTTCATGTGTTCTCCTTTGGTAAGTAAACGAAAAATGCATCTTGTTGGATTGTGTTGTATGGATTGCTAAATGAATTAGCTAAAAAGGTCAGAAATCTAAACCTCGGGGTCAAACCAAGTGGTGAAGGTAGGTGGTGACATGTGTTAGATCAAAAGTTTCATTTCCTCCCATTGCAAAAATAAGAAATTTAATATAGAGAAAAATTCATGTTTTCTCTTTTGGTAAGTAAGCGAAAAATGCATGTTGGATTGTTTGCAGAAGGAATAGCTAAAAGGGTAAGAAATCTAAACCACGAGGTCAAACCAAGTGGTGAAGGTAAGTGACGACATGTGTTATATGAAAAGTTTGATTCCCTTCCATTGTAAGAATAAGAAATTTCATATAGAGAAAAATGCATCTTTTTTTTTTTTGGCTAAGCAAGTAAAAAATGCATCTTGATGGATTATGTTGTAGCTATACACATTAGTTGCACCTGTCTAACTTGGAATGGATGAAATGAAGATTGATTAAAACTTAAATACTAATTATTCATTATATTCAGAATAATTAAAACATAAATAACAATAATAATTGTTCAATAATGTTAACGCATTACTTAATTGCAAATATTAAACTTTAAAAAAAAAACTAATTTTGTATAATAAGAAAAATACAAAGTTCACAAAATAATCTGAAATAATTAATTACTATTTATTGATTAATTTTTGAAATTAGAAAAATATTTAAATACTAATTATTCACTAACGAAATATAAATAATTACTAATTAAAGTAATTAAAAAAAGGCTAAGATATTACTTAATTTCAAAGAAGAAAACCAGTTTGGGCTATACTTTTAAAATATTAAAATCCATAAAACGAGTATATCTGCTTTAAATGTATACAACTATTTTAACAGTATAGCCGCACCGCTATACTTGTTAAATGTTAACTTATTTTCAAAGTACCGCCTCGAGGCCATAAGCATTAAATATTAATATATTTTAAAAGTAAAGCCGTGTGGCTATACATTTTAAATATTAATATCATTTTGTTATCATCACGAATTAGGTTATCCTGTGATAGGCAGAGTTGAAAAAGAAAGTCAATAACAAATCACTTAGTTCAAATTCAACCTCACAATTTTCGGAATCCGAAGCATGTTTTTCAATGTTTGACTGACCCAATGCATTCGGTAGAAATGAACTTGTTGGATCGAGACACATCAATTGCTTCTGCATATAGCTCCAGACCTACCATGCCAACACATTTGAGTTATAAATTTACCAACTTATTCTTTATGCATTTTCTTTATATTTTTGCTAGTTCGGATCCATTTGCAAGAGAGGATTGCTAATTTAGAATACATAATGTTTTGATAGAGGCCACATTTTGGGTTTTAACTTTCAAGTTTTGGATGGACTTAGGGTTCCTAACACTCTAGAGTTGAAGCCTAAATTTAACCGATATATCTAGTATTACTATCGCAAAAGTAAATAATGAGGATGAGATATCTTACCATATGCAATAACCAAGAGTGGAGCCAAAAAAGCCATTTGTTTTATACAAACTTGTCCATGTATTTTTTTAGTTAGCAATTAGATAGCAAGGCAGGAATGTATAATATTGGCAATGGCGTTTGTTGTTTGTTGCACTCAAGTACTTGCTTTGAATCCCACATCGTATATATTCATATTGGTAAGGCAATTAGCTAAAGAGGGTAACAAATTTAATACAGTGAAAAATGCATATTTTTCTTTGGTAAGCAAGGAAAAATTTCAACTTTTTTTTTTGGTGTAAGAAAGAAAAAAATGCATTACATTACCCAAATTATTTACGTACTTGTCTCACTTGGAATGGATTGACATATATACTTTTTCATGGGGTTTGTCAGCCATAATTGGGCCAAGCTTAAGCCCACATAGAAGTCACAAACACAAGAGGCCCAAAGGCTTTGCCTATTTTCACTTTCACTTTTTTCGCAAAGGCCCTAATGCCTATTGTTACATGTGTAAACAGCCCGATTGATTCATGTTTCAAAGTGCCTTATGAGTTTTAATGAAAGATTAAAATGAATTACTAAGATAAATTTCAAGTAATTTTGATTATTGTTTGTATTAAAAATAAATAAATTAATGCAAGGCATTTGTAGCTCAAGTGGTTAAGAGCATTTACCGTCGCACCTTAAGTTCGATCTCCTCATCTCAGATATCGCTCGTATCATAAAAAATAAATTAATAAGAGAAATATAGTAGTTATATTTGTATTAATTCCTCATCATCCCTGTAAACTATGGTTTACAATTTTATTGAGGAAACCAGGCAACAACACCATGTCATGTTGCCTGAAATTAATTAACTTCAGTTTATGGCCATGGTGGAAATGGGAGCAGGAATAGTGTGATGCGACTCTACTTTCTGGTTCACACAGCAAAAATTCGCACATTCTGGATCATAGGGGCAAGCAGGATCTACAACTCCGACGTTTCTTGCTTCAGCACATAGCTCCAAACCTGCCAACAATTAGTTATTTAGTTACTTATATAATGAGTAGAATATTGTGACATTAGTCGATACAGAATCTTGGGAGTTGTCCAAATTTAACTTAATTTTAGACCCCAAGCATGGCGGAATGGGAATGAGAGATTTTACCAGATGCAATGACCATGAGCACAACCAGAAGAGCCAATTTTGATGAAGACTTGCCCATGTCTTTTTGAGTTAGCAATTAGATAGCATGAATGTATAAGATACGTATATAGTATATAGGAAATTGGCTGATGTGCTCAAGTACTTGAAGTTCCTGTAGTGATAGGATATTTATATAGGTGAAGCAATTAGTTAAAAAGCAAAGAAATTAGGTAAAGTGGGGAGGATAGGGTTGGGAAATGGGTTAGCTTTTGATTAGGCAAGGGGCTCGACTCCCTTATGGAATAACGAAAAGAAGAAGGTAAGAAATCTAAAATACATAGAAAAATGTATCTTGTCTCTTTTGTTGAGCAAGCGAAAAAATAAATTTTGGTGGATTGTGTTTTATGAATTTCTAAAAGAGTTATGATTCAGATAAGAGTTTGATTTCCTCCCATTGTAACCATAAGAAATTTAATATGGAGAAAAATTCAAAGTTTTCTCTTTTGGTAAGTTAGCAAAAAATGCATCTTGCTGGATTGTATCGTATGGATTGCTAAATGAATTAGCTAAAAAGGTCAGAAATCTAAACATCGGGGTCAAACCAAGTGGTGAAGGTAGGTGGCGGCATGTGTTAGATCAAAAGTTTGATTTCCACCCTTTGTAACAATAAGAAATTAAATATGGAGAAAAATTCATGTTTTCTCTTTTGGTAAGTAAGCGAAAAATACGTCTTGTTGGATTGTGTTGCTAATGGAATATCTAAAAGGGTAAGTATTCACCCGTTTTTATGTAGTTCCTGTGATGGTTGGGGAAAATTCCTTATTGTCTTGAAGACCATTTATGGTCAACAAGTCTACTTTCTTTGGCGTTGCGAGCGTGCCACTGTTAGCAGTTAAAACCCTAATAAACTTATAAAAAATAAATAACTTGCGCCTCAAGTTGTTGACTTCAAACAAGTGATTGTGAATTTGGGTGAGGAATATCTCCCAAGTAAGTTCTTTTCTTGCCTCCGGCAGATGCGGACTTTGTAATTTTTCACAATAAGAACTAGTGGTTGTAACAAAA